GAGGGGCACCCGGGGGCCGGCGGGAGCCAGCGGAGACGCCAGCGCGACCCTGGGGGAGCCCGGGGTCCCGTGACTCCGCGCTGAGGAAACGGAGGCGCGAAAAGTAGCTCCGGTGGCTGAGGACCGAGAGGCGGGAGATGGAGAGCGAGGGAAGCGGAGAGCTGGGAGGCTGGTCCCGCGCGGGAGGCTGAGGCAGGAGGATCCTAAGCTTGAGTCCAGCCTGGGCAGTTAAGCGATTTGGCGAGACCCGGTGTCACAGTAAGTGTAGCTCGGTGTAAAGGCCCTGGGTTCAGTCCCCAGTACCACAAAACAGAAAAAACTAGAGAAAGTAACGGCGTGAGCCCGAGGGAGGCTCATGAGAACCACGTGGTCCCGCCGTGAAAATTTGGGAGATGGAAGTACAGAAAGGTGGACGAGAGACTGGGGCATGGGCCGGATGTGGCAAGGTGGAGATAGGGAATAGGGAGCTCGTGATCCGCATTGGAGAGGATAAGCCAGGTGTCCTGGCGCACACTAATCCCAGCACCCTGGAGACTGAGGCAGGAGGATCACAGGAGTTGGAGGCCTGACTGAGCTACATAGCAAGACCTAATCTCAAAAAAGAAAAAAATCCACATTAAAAGGGCCGGGAATTTAGCTCAGTGGTTCCACTGCCTTCCTGGAAAGTGCAAGGACCCGGGTTTGATCCCAGGAACCAAAAACACATTAAAAAGAGTTGATCTGCCAGTGGTCACACACCTTTCTAATCAGTGAAGAGACTCCAGGCTGTCTCCAGATCCTACACACAGAGGAAGGCTCTGGGCCCTTTCAGGGTCCTAGGCCTCTTTAAAAATCAGTGATACTGGGGAGGCTAAAAGCCTGAAGTCTTCCTGAGCAATTTAGCCAGGCCCTGTTATAAAAGGGTTAGAGCTGGGTGTTGTGCACACCTGCGATCTCAGCACTCGGGAGGTAGGAAGATTGCCGTGAGTTTGGCCAAATCAGGACTAAATAGATTCTCAAAAATATGAGTGATAAACTTCCCTCCAGAGTATTGCATATCCAAGGTTTTCTTTAGGGGGTTGCTTTTTGAGACAAGGTCTCACTGTGTACTTCAGGCTGTCCTTAAACTTGCTGGGTTACCCAGGCTGGCCTCAAACTTGTGGCATTCCTGCCTCAGCCTCTCAAGTATTGGGATTTCAGGTGTGTGCTGCCATGCCTGGCAGTATGCTCTTTATGAGGTAAGATTCTTTCAACTGAGAATCAAGAACCCAGCTTTCAGCAAAAAGGCATTTTTTTATGTAGTCAAGAAGTAGAGTCGGGCGTGGTGGTGCACACCTGTAATCCCAGCACTTGGGAGGCTGAGGCAGCAGGATGCTGTGAGTTCAAGACCAGCCTGGGCTACATAGTGAGTTCCAGGTTGATCTCAACTACGACTGTCTCAAAAAGCAAAAACGAAACCAAACCAAAAAAAAGAGTTGAAGTTGTGAACGGAAAACGATGTTGCCAAGATTTTACCGTACCCATCTTCCATAGTTGCACAAGGGCCACCCTTGTGTGTGTTGTGTGCCTCATTGTGCCCTATGAGGGGTTTCTCTAGGTTGGGTTTCTGGGAAAGTCTGGAACTCCCCAGAGATTCTGCTACATAGGCATCAGGTTTCTATCAAACTTGCCTAGTTGTAATAGAGCCTTTCCTAGCAACCAGGTGTGACTGTTAGAGATTGGCCCCGATTGGCTCTGACTGGGTCATGTGTCCACTTCTCAGACCAATCACTGATTAAGGGGAAAGTAGAGTACTGTGATTGGTCAGGCCTTTGACCTGCCAAACTTTGTCCCTGCCTCAGACTCCGCTGACAGGACCGTATGGAAATGAAGGAAGGTGGATACTGTTAAAAAGAAGGGCCTTGTGAATATGCTAGGCAGGCAAAACAATACAGGTATAACACTGATAAAATTTTTCATGCATTCAAAGGGCTTCCTGCATCCTGAACTCCAGACCCCAGGGTAAGAACCCTCTGTCGCTGCACTCTGTATCTGGCCTCTTGTGTTAGCCTCCTGTTACGGTTTATATCTAGATGGCCCCTAAGGCTTCCTGTGCTCACAGGTGGGCTTTTGAAGGGTGACTGGATCCTGAGGGCCTCAGGCTGCCTTGTTAGGAGGGTGGGGCTGCTGGGACGCACTGGGGCGTGGCCCCGCAAGGCTGTGTCTGCCTGGCTCCCTCCGGTCCTCGTCTGCCTTCAGGTGTCAGGTCTTCAAGGGTCCTTTCCTCATGTGTCCCCCGGGCAGGCACTTCTGGGCTTCCTTTAGCACAGCCTCGGCCACCTTGGTGCTGCAGTGTGGAGACCGGGTGACCTGTGCCTGTCATGTGGCTGCAGCTGTCTGTGAGGGCTCAGGTGGTCTCGTTACTTCATTTTCCTGGCCCAGTGCTTACGAAATAGATGTGTGGTGAATGTTCCTGCAAATGAACGGATGTCTTCTGTTCTCTCCCTTAAGGGTCTGTGGCTCGAAACCCAGGGAGAGCTCGTGTCCGTCCCGGAGCGTGCTGCGGGAGTCCTGAATCACCAGCTGAGCCAGGCCCCTGGACACCTATGTGTCCATCACCTGTGTGCTGATAGCAGCCAGGAAAGGAGGGAAATCAGCTCTGAAAACAAAGCGGTTCCTTATTGCGGGGCCGGCCTGTGACTGTTGCACGCAGGAATGGATGAAAAAACCGGGCCCAGGTGATAAGAACCGAGGCCCACTTTGGGACAACGTTGTGGGTCACTGCATGGCTCCTCCCGGGACCAGGGAGGGTAAGGGTCACCGAGACGTCCGCCGGGCTCGCGGTGAGGACGACGCCCCGGAGAGATGGGACTGGGATTGTCCAGAAACGCGCCGCCGCTTTGAGGACGCCTTCTTTGGCGACGAGGATGACATCCGTCGTGGCTCGGAGGAGTGCCAGAAGTTCTGGGCCTTCTTTGAACGCCTGCAGCGATTCCAGAACCTCAAGACCTCCAGGAAGGAGGAGAAAGAGCCCGAACGTCCCCAACACTGCATCCCGGCCCTGGCCGACCTGCCTCCCGCTTACGACCCCCGCT